GTATTTTCCCTTTTTCGTTTAATAAATTGGGTAATACGAGTGTAATGGTGACTAAAGGGTGTTTTTTCATGTCCTCTATGCTCTAACTATGAAAATATTTGATTTACAAATAAGGAATCCTACTTCGTGGAATTTAATTTATCACAGTAGGGTCTAGAACTGATTAACCGCGATAAACGAGGGTTCACTGTATATTATTGCTGATATCAGATGGATCTTAGCTGAAAGCAGGTTTACTTGGGTTTTATTGACTATGCCATGGTATTCAACTGTGTGAATCATAACAAACTGAGTAAGCATGAGAAGAATGGGAATTCTGAACACTTCACTGTGCTCAGGTGGGACTTGGACCTAGATCAAGAGGCAGCTGTGTAAACAGAACAAGAGAATAGTGCATGATTTAACAACAGGAGAATTGTGCCTAAGAGTTGTATCCTCTCACCGTACTTATCCAATCTGTATGCTGAGGAAATCATCAGAGAAATGGATTATATAAAACAGAATAGGGCATCAGCATTGGAGGAAGGCTTATTAACAACCTTTGATATGCAGATGATACAACCTTGCTTGCTGAGAGCAAAGACTTGAAGCACTTGCTGATGAAGATGAAGGATTCCAGCCTTCAGTATGTTGTTAGGCTGGGCCCACCAAATATGGGAATAATACAAGCCACTAATTAACATAGCATGCTACCAAGTGTCACAAAAGGCTAAACCTTGGAGAAAACGTTTTCTAAATTAAATTCAATACACCTTTAAAGTACTAGAGCTCAGGGTAACTTTCACAGATCTTCAATCTGCCATGTTTTATTTTGACTTTTAACTACCGTAATTCACAAATAACTGACTTCTACTCTATTCTTTGTATATTTCTTAGAAATTAAATCAGACATGACCAGGCATTTTTCAGTAAGGAGCAAATTTTGATTAGGGGACACCTAGATATTTTTGTTTACACTTTCTGATTTAAAAAATACCACATTTAATTGTAAACTTCTTTTAGGGTTATGTGTTGTATGAGACTGAAATGAAAAAGTTGAAAACAGAAAAGCAAGAGTTAAATAAAGGGTTTTAATGGAAACAATCTTAGTGATAGTTATTGTAATTTTATTTGAATAATGTACATGACACTAAATATTTAAGCTATAAACTACAATCAAGAAATTGTATTTCTAAACCTTTTAAGCACAACAGCTACTATTACTACAAAGCAAAACAAGTTGCAATCTGTACAACAACCACTAGATGGTAGTAATTACAAATAAATCAAAATTTATCAACTCAAAACTCAAAAGCTAGTTTAAGAGACTATCAGGGAAAAAACAAAGGTTAAAATCCTCAAAATGCTCGTAACCTCAAGTAGACAGACTGGCAAAGTGGCTGCAACAATAAACTCAAGTGTAGGAACAATTGTGAGGATGGCACGGACCAGGCAACGTTTTGTTCTGTTGTGCGCAGGATTGCTATGGGTCAGAACCAACTCAATGGCATCAAACAACAAACACATTTTAACGTTTGTTTTAAAAATTAGGGATATAAGTATTTTTAAAGCTACTCTTTTGCAAACCAAATGTCAGTTGAACTACAACAACTGATAGACTAATACAATGAAACAATATTGAATTGTACCTAAAAAACTAATTGTTTTATTCATGGTACCAAGCATATCTAACTAAAAATTAAAATTTTTTAAAGATTTCAATATTGTCTGTTTCTCTACATATAAACGTATTATGTGTGTATTCTAGGCAATCAAATTACATTTACATTGCTAATTTTAGCAATTTGAAGAATTTATTGAGTTTCTCAATATCATTTAATAAAATTACTATGTACTGATACCTGTATTAGGAATTAAAGCAATGAAGACTATAACACAGTTTCCCTCAGGAAGGTATTTTTTAACTTTATAAATTAAAATTATTTCAATATGCTCAAAAATATTACTGAACTTGACTAAGTACTCACACTCACCATTTGCCCCCAGTTAATACTTAAACTTTCAAACCTTTCAAACATTTACTGTTCTAGTTGCCTAGAATATTCCTTCCCAAGGCTTTTTCTGGCTTAAAGACATTCCTTTAATATGTGCCAACAGCACTATCAGTATTACAGTATTTCCTATATAATAGTTTATATAAACTTTAGAATGCCACCATCTAACATCATGAGTACAGTGCAGTGATTTGCCTGATACAGCTCTTCTAACCAAAGTCTTTATAAATTCCACCAAATGATTAGATTGCACAGCAGGCAGATCCTGACGGATCTGGACAAGAGAAGTTAGGGGGCAATACTGATAGTAACATATGACTCAGTCATGAGTGGTTATGAACAAGGATCATTGTGATTATAAAAACTTGAAATTCAAATGGTGGGATTGGTTAATTTTACAATTCATCTGGGTATAAAATTAGTCCCATCTCAGAAGTAGGAAAGGGGTGGGGTGGGAAGAGGAATCTCATTATCATCAAGAAGAGCCAAAAGTGGAACACATCCTTTGGCTCCAGATAGCCCTGCACACTGTACCTCCTTTATTCAGGAAACATAGCTGTGGCATCAGAGGAGCAGTAGAGGAATGGCAGAGAAGTGGAAGCAGCTGAGCAAGAAACAGAGCAGCTGGTTTCCCAACCCAGAAAGCAAGTAAAACTGAGGATTAAGGTAGTGACACACCCTTTGGGTACTTACCAGCAGCCCTAAAGCAGCTTTGTAGCCCTTGTATGAGTAGGGCAGAGGCCAACATGCCATATGGCTGAGGCACAGAGAAACAGAGAGGCATGCCTGAGCAGAAGCCCTCCTAACTGAAAGATGTATGCTAAGCATTCCTGATCTCAAATTGTACCCTATTAGCTTCCCTAATAAACCCCATAATTATGAGTATTGTCTTAGAGTTCTCTTGCCCATTGTAATGGATTGTAGAACCCAGCAGAAAAGGCCTGGAAAAAGATGAGTGGTATCAGAATTGGTAAAAAGATTAGAGGGTGGAAGTATATCTGATCTATCTGATAGGAAGCAATTTTACGCTGATGTTGAATTTGATTTTATACCCTCCTTGTTAAGTCAGAGGAAATCAAACTTGGACCCCATTACACTCTTACAATAATTGAAATATAGTTATCCAATGAGTGTTTAATTACCTCAAGTTTTTGTTCTACATATGATCATACTTTGTGATAGTTGGATTTTTTGTGCCAACCTGGCACCTGTATCAATAGATTGCCTATTGATCAGGTTGCAGCCTGATGACATCCCTTTAAGGTGCACCTATAATATATGGCCCTCTAGAGGTATCTACCTATCTATCTGTCTATCTCCCTTCCTCTTTCCCTCCCTATTGGCTGGAGCAGTACTTTGCTTAATCCAGTTGCCCTGCCTCTTCACATGTACTATGCTACTTGTGGTCTGTGAAGCATTTTAAGTCACCTTGTTGAGCCAACCTTGGACTGCAATGCTGGGCTGCACTGCAGCTTGTTCCACACTGCAGCATGCCATGTCTGCTGCCTGTGGGCCGACTCCACTTGTCTTCTCATGCCTCCAGATGCTGCACCTCCAGTCAGCCACCTCACATTAGTCTGAGGCTCCACTGTGACTTGCTACGCCGCACTGCTCTATTGGCCTCCCCTACACTCTCCATACTCATCTTCCTACTGTCTACTTCTGTGGACCTTGGACCTCACTGCTTGAGTTGGAAAGACCTTCAGTATACTAACTGATCTATGAAAGTGAGTCAGATTGAGCTCTCTGTACTGCTGAGTGGACTAATTTGCTGTTACAATCATTTTTCACTATATATACTTATCTACTAAAATATACAATCATAAGTGCCCTGGTATATCTTCTCTAGAGAACTCTGCTTAATACATACTTATAGCTATTCATCCAATACCAGGAGTAATTTACATGTAAAATCAAGGCAGACAGACTAAAACTATTTGCTTTTCTTCATTATATTGCTTTAAAACACAAACAGGCAATACTTGCAAAGCATTTAAAAATTGAGAAAGGGAAAAGTTACTTACTGAAAAATGCCAGCATAAAAATGCCATCATTACCCACTCTAAGTTGGTCTGCTTCACTGAAATCATCTCTTGGTTGACACTCTTCTTCCTGGATCTGTAAAAGGTATTAGCAGATATTATTTAAATATTATCATTTTATTTGCTTTAAAAACAAAATGATATATTAAGAGTACGTCTGGTACATATTAAATATTCAATAAACATTAGCAAGTACTATTTTCATGAACACCCTCAAAAAAGTAACTTCAAAGGAAAATAATCAAAAAACATTAGTGAACAACACAGAATTATGAACATGGTAGCAATAATTACCTTTCGACACTACTGTTGTAGTGTGAAATGAAGAAACAGCATCTTTCTGGTGATGATTGTACAACTCTTCTTAATGTGACTGAACTAATGCATTGTAGGGCATGTGGATGACGTGCAAATAAAATTGCTAAAATAAGAAACAGCATCTTTCCTATATCAATGTGGGATTGTGCACTGGTACTTGTATAGTTGGTAGTTTGGCAATATTTATTAAAAATAAAATGTACACACGTTTTCTACAGAACTCTACAATAAGAAAATAAAAGATACTTACATATGCAAATGGAAGACCACTCCATATTCACGGAGAGGAAAAATTACCATTGTGAAAACGTCAATATTATTTAAAGCAATCTAAAATACAACATAACTCCAACACAGCTTCCAATTTCCTTTTTTTAATTGAAAAATGAATTACTAACTTTATATGGAGAAGAAGAAACCCAGGACAAGGAAAGACCTTCTTAAGAAGTAGTACAAATTGTGCCCAGTCTGACGCCCTCCACACCAGGGCGAAACACAAAAGGAATGCAACAAAGCAGCAAGGGGAACAAACCATCGAAGTCCCCAAGGAATCCCAAAAATAGACTTCAGACTCAGGGCTGGGCTTGGCACCTCATCAGACTCGATTGGAAAACATATGTAAGACTCAACAGACAGACCTGGTACTATTTATACTCCACCCTCTCCCCACCTTTTTTTTCTTTCTTCCTCTTTTTCATGTCTGTCTCCATAAGATAGGCAAGATAGACAATCCCAAGGAGAAAACAACAGGACCAATGGTTCCTGGGACATGGGAGAGGACGAGTTGAGGGAAATGGAGGGGACAGCCAACAAACTCAGGGAGAAGAGAACAGCAAGTGATCTAAAACCGAAGGCAAGGAGGGTGTAGAATGCCTGGGGGGTGGGGGGGGG